AAATGTTGGTGTGTTCATGTTACGAACCTACCTAGGTACATACAGAGCTTGGGTATAGTCGGAATGGGGTTCTGGAGTCTAAGGTAACAGTGGGGATTGGAAGGCTTGGGCCGCGCGATGTTAGAGTGGATGGTGGACGGAGGTACTAGAAACACTCACGACCACAAACCACCTCGAGGGCCTCCGCGACTCAGGAGGGTTCGGAGATTGATAGGCATCAACATGAAAACGCATCTATCTGATGCTTCTTCTTCCGCAGAACTCAAAGCTGTACTCCAAGAGTACCTTAGGTAGTTAGCCACTATCGTCGCGGGCGTGTTCAACACAGGCAGACGTCAGGTGGTATGCGAGCACCTACAGGTTTCAAAGGTTGGCCCTACAGGTACCTTTCATCTCAAATCACAGAACAAGGCACAACCTAGGTACTGCTACATATTGTTTAGTGCAGCTCCTCGATGCCTAGACGGCGAGATCTATACATATTTCCAGCTCAGGGCCGGTTTGTAACACGATAGAAAGGAAGCGGCCTTCTTGTTATCCCCTATGACATTTGCTGATCGATAAGCCATTCTAAGATGGAACATTGAAGTCGGTGCAGATACGACTATTACACCTGACTTATAGGTTCGTAGGTAGTGTTCATAAACACCAGAAATCTACCTTATGTTGTTACGATGGCTTACGTACCTTAGGTACCTATTATCGCCTAACTGAAACCACAGACTCTGATTGGACGACATGCTTCGATTGAGCTGATAGAGCGATTGCGTACGCAGCTACGGCACAGGCATCCATATTTTGCATGCTGGCATCGCATCAGATTTGATCATTAAGCATTTTTTCTCATAGGACAATGTCTGCCAACGCCTAACCTAATGGCTTGCTTTGCATCTCGATGACTGCGCATCTCGCCTCCACACATGCATCCTCCATTCCCACCTTCGAGCAAGATGCCGTAATACCGAGCGCGCACGGAAGCCCCCGCAATCGCCACTCCGCACCCCAGACCCCAGACCTCCAGACACCCCCCGTGGCGTTCGGCCTTGGCGCGGGAATTCGAAGTCATCCGTAGTAAATGCGGAGGACGGTGAAACATCTCATCATCTTTGTCCCTGACAACAGTTCATTTATTCGGATAAGACTTATCATCTTGAACCCTGTTTCCTCAAAGAGATGTACTGTCGTATGCTCGTCAGACTCGCTTTTTATTTTCCTTTTCTTGTCTATTTTTCTTCTCAAAAAAAGAAAAAGCGATGTCCTCCTCACTCCTCGCACAATCACGTTGTGTAGGTTTTCACCGCTTTGTCAGCTTAGTATAACACACTTAGCTTAAGTTTTAAGCTAAGTGCGCTTACAAGAGCAAGCATACCGACTTTCTTATTAGTGTTTTGCAAAAAAGTGCGAATGCGTCGAATTGTGTCCCGGCCCGGGCTCCTGGCTCTACTGGCGCTCAACACACATGTGTCATTTATATAATATATGCTTAACAAGAAGCTCGACTTGGTTCAAACTGTCGGATTCAATCCCCTAAAGGCTACTATTACTTGCGTGCAATCAATAATGTGTCTTCAATTATGTAATATTCGGGGGTGACGGCGACTATTGATATACCCGCGCCACTTCCAGTAGACGTGTTGCTTTGGCACGAATTAGCATGAAGCATACTGCAAGTAGTTGGTTAATTGGTCTTATAGAGTGGCAATGCCGAACCAAGAATCATCGTGGTAGCTAAGGATTTGTTCTGGTCTTCTACGCATATCAGGCTTGATAATTGGCAATCCAATTTGAACACTTTAAGAGTCGCGGGAGTCACGGTGTCCAACTAGAAGACAGGTACGACCCAGTAATACGTGTGAAAAGTACAAGTAATGAATGCATTAATGACTTATATGCTGGATAATAAGTACCTATTTACCATACTGCCTGTATGTTAAGGCCGGACGAGCCGCCAGTGATGTCGGAGATGCTTTGGAATAGAGTTTCAAGGTGAAGTCTAAACGAATCACTTTTGCTGCTGCCTAGTAGCGAAGAGCTGCACCGTGGATCTTTATCCGTGTCGGTACAGTGCTCGGAAATTTTTATTCGATATCAAAACCCATGAGGCAGAAAGTGCAGGCACGAAGTCGTCTAATACGGATTACGGATGGAAGGCACTAGGTTAGAGTACAGTGCTTGAGAGACACCAGAAAAGGGTGGTTGGGACACGTGCAAATGGAATTCAACTTGCCAAAAATACAGCTAGATAAATTTGCAGCCAACTTACGCGAATTATTCTACGCAAAACATCAAGCCAAGGTTTTCGCATCAGCATGCAAATTTCGATCAAGCAAAAACGCGTGCACACTACTCACTTTGTCGATTGTCACAACGCTTTCGAGATAGCTTCAGACGAATCCACGCGGGTATGTAACTTTATACTTTACTTCAGAACGAGTACCACTCAAAGAGAAGCCCAGCCTGTTGCATCGTGTTTTGTCTTCTACGCCAAGTTCTGTTCCCAAACGCTGACCCATTACGCTGCATCGCTTAGCTGTTTGTCACACATCAAACCAACCAAGGCATCGAGGCAGCGCATTATCCGCAGGCGAATACAAAGACAAGTCACCAGAAATATCTAGCTTTTTCCACCAACGGCAAGATGGATGTCACTTTCAATCCGGACTACAACGATGTCGCCATGATCGAGATGGAGATGGACGCTTACATATGGGGGTATCTCGATCAATTCCAGGCAGAGCAAGCCCGGCAACGAGAAGCCGACGAAGCCCGGGTCGCCCAGTCACCTGTCGAACCCGCTCTCGGCATGACACTCGAGCCCAGCACGCCCGAGGAGCCCAAGCCGCGGCAGGAGACTATCGGAGAATCTTGGGATCGGCGCACCGAGAAGTTGATCCACCGCCGCCGCCGTCGCCAGGAACAACGCGAACTTCGACTTCGCCGTCAGAAGCCGGAGCGACGATCAAGCTTCATGCTTCCGGTCCTGGGCATCCCGGACCCCGGCCCCGTGTACAAGTTCGCGATGAAGCTGAGCGAGACCCTGCTGCCCCCCTACCAATCCCAGCTCACTGCTACTACTATGACTACGAGTCCCCCGGATATCTCTCCGGCGGACCAGACCAGACTCCCCGGAACCATCTACGGCATGTCGATTCTGCATCGCAGCCCCATCGCCGGATCTATCTGGGCCCTGGGCCTCCGCCCCAAGTATCACAACAGCGTGATGACTCTCCGCAAGCGCTACGCGGGCCACGAGTTTACCAAGAGCGGCGCGCCCAAGACGGCGCACGACTTCGCGGTCGTGCTGCTGAGCTGCCAGCGCCGCGGGGAGAAAGCTCGCTATAGAATCGAGAGGCTCTGGGGTCCCACGGTGGAGGTAAAGGAGGACGAGGACGAGGAAGAGGAGTGGGAGTGGGAAGTGGTGGTGGAGGAAGAGGAGGAGGAAGAAGCGGAGGAAATAGTAGACTTTGAGGAGACGTTCAAGCTGTGGGTCGCCGAGAACGCTCAATCTCACCGGGGAAAGGGCCGCAGACAGGCGAGCAGCCAAAGAAGTCGCCCGCTGCCTGACCTGCAGCTGCCCGACTTGCTTCGCGGCTACTCGGAGCGTGTCTCGCGCGCCGCTGACGCCTACTCCGCTCTCTTGTCGAGCTTATATTAACGGATAGTGACGTACACACATACCTATGGACGCTGCGGCGAATACTTGGCGGGGGATTCAGGCTCTTACTCGGGAGGAACTTTGTAGATAACCCTCTTCTATACCTACCTATCGATGCGATATGTGATCGAGGTTGGGAGCCGATGAGCTGATATGCAGCTCAATGATACTATTCGCCGCCCGCTCGTATGTCCCAAAGAACAAGACTAATGTGAAACTTACCTAAATATTTCCATCTCCTTTTACAGAACTTACTCTGATTAGCACCACTTAACAACCTCATCCATATCTCCATCTGCTCCTCTACTATGGTACACGCACCTCCATCACCGTCTCCCCCTCCTGCAACGTAATGCGCCCGTTCGCCGCGGCGCAAAGTAGCTCCTGCGGTATCGCCGGCACCTCGTCAAAGTAACCTAGTATGATAAGCGCACCGCAAATCTGCATAAAGATGATCTGAAACCAGTTCCGCAGCGCCATCAGCTCCCCCGCGTTATACGCGCTGACCGCGTCAGCGTCGCATCTAACACAAACCCGCCCACATTGTCGATACACATCCACCTCTCTGGGCATCACCCTGGCGTTGCCGATGACTCATTTGGCACCTATCTAACGGCGTTTTTCTTTCGCGATCTGCACGGCCATGGCGCCTGCCGCCGATAATACCACGACCATGTCGCCTGTTTTCGCGTCGCCCGCGTACGCCAGGCCCCAACCGGTATACGCGGCCAACCCCCGAGTCCCCAAACGCGCCGAGATAATGCGCCAGCGGCAGATCATTAAGCGGAGCCGCCAGGGGTCCAGTGGCGGCGGCGTCGCCGTCCGCAATGTGAAAGTCGCTTTCGGACGCGGAGACGACCGGGGCGCTGGTGGGCTTGGAGGTTAGGATCCACTAGTTACTTGGGCGTTGCCATTCGTAGAGTGTATAGCCGCGTTATACGCTCCCCTGTCTTTGTTTATATGCTTTTTTTTTTTTGCTTTTTTTTAAACTTCAATGACACCCTAAATCGATGCGATGCTGACAGCTTCAGATCAAGTAGTATATAAATATTCCCGTTAACCCTCCGTTCTAGGTTAGGGAAATACATGGGAGTGTCTTACATACCCCAGCGAATATCTTCTAGTGACTAAAAATGCAATACCTGTCTGTGTATGACTTCTTAAAACGTGAGAGAGTATTTTTCTGTGCTCAAGCTTTATTCCTGAAGCCTGACGCTGAGACTGTCTAACCTTACGCTATAATGAATGCTAGAGAGGGTAAAGGTAAGGTTACATCGTGGGTCTGAGCTACTTCGAGAATGGGGAAGGAAGTCTAGGAGAAAAAGAAGATAAAAATAAAAGGAAATGCCCAACACAGGAATCGAACCTGTTGCCTCCTCATTTTTAAGTACAGTTCCTTTTGACGGGAAAGATACTAGTGAGGCGCTCTACCGATGAGCTAGTCGGGCCTACATAACTGCTGCTGAGGCTGATAGTTACGAGTTGTAATCTTATTCAGCACTATAACGAATGCTCCCCTTCCAGCTCCACCCTGCAATTTTTCCAAGCATTGGACTTTGCGGTCTAGATTCGTCTACCTACATATGTAGGTACCTAATAAAGAGTTGAGTCGTTCACGACAAAGGGTTTAAAGGAGTAAGTAGATATGGTGATTGGTGATTGGTAGCTGATGCGGTGACATAGAAATGTGCATAGTTCTGATGATATTCCCATATTCCCTCCCACATCCAAGCAAGGTGTAATACATCCATCTCATGTAGCTTAATTCGGCCTCTCCTTTTGATTACAGTCTGCTTTTCGAGTAAGTTCCAATTCTTTTTCCGTCGCACATAGCCATCCTATACACCTTCAATGCTCGCATGTAGATTGCCTCATCGTCCTCGGCCAACCTGCGCACCCACACCACACCACACCATAGCCATCCCGCATCACAACTTCGCAAACACCGTCGGCGCACTTCCCCCCATCTCAACCAGCGTACTCTTATTCCTAACCCACGCCTCCAGCCCCTTCCTTCCATTCTCCACCCCCACCCCGCTCTGCTTCCACCCGCCGACCGCCATCTCCGCGGGACTCTCGCCCCACGTATTCACCCACGTGATACCCGCCTGCAGCCTCGCGATCACCGAGTGACAGGTATCGATATCCCTACCGACCACGCCCGCCGCAAGCCCCAGCTCCGTCGCGTTGGCGCGGTCCACGGCCTCGTCCAGCGACTCGTACGTCAGGATCGCCATGACGGGGCCGAAGATCTCGTTCTTCACGATCGCCATGTCGTCCGCGCAGTCCGTGAACACGGTCGGCCGCACCCAGCACCCCTGCCTCAGATTCTGCGGCAGGTCCGTCGGCACCTCCGGGCCGCCGCACAGCAGCGTCGCTTTATCGAAAACAACGCCGTGTTTCACGTACGCGAGCACCTTCTCCTGATGCACCTTACTGCTCAGCGGCCCGAAGTTCGTCGCCGGGTCGAACAGGTCGCCCGCGCGAATGTGTCGCACCCTATCCAGCACCGCGCGCTCGAACGCCTTCTTCATCGCGCGCGGCACGAACACGCGCGTGCCGTTCGTGCACACCTGGCCGGTACTATAAAAGTTCGCCATCATGGCCACGTCGGCCGCCTGCGCGACGTCCGCGTCCGGCAGCACCAGGAGCGGGCTCTTGCCGCCGAGCTCCATCGTCACGTACTTCATGTCTCCCGCCGCGGCGCCCGCTACTTTCTTCCCCGTGCTGACCTGCCCCGTGAAGCTGACCTTGGCGACGGCCGGGTGCCGCGTCAGGCGCGCGCCGACGTCGCCGGCGCCGTACACGACGTTGAAGACGCCGTCGGGCACGCCGGCCTCGCGGTACAGGCCCGCCAGGTACTCGGCGTGCAGCGGCGTGAATTCACTCGGCTTGTAGACCATGCAGTTGCCCGCCGCCAGGCACGGCGCCGACTTCCAGAGAGCGATCTGGATGGGGTAGTTCCAGGCGCCGATGCCGGCGCACACGCCCAGGGGCTCCTTGGACGTGTAGACCGTGGCCGAGGGGCGGAGCCGGAAGGACTCGCCGTTGAGGCCGCCGCTGCCTACTAGGTTGGCGAAGTACTCGAGGACGTCGGCGCCGGTGACGATGTCGACGGTTGACGTTTCCGAGTACGGCTTCCCTGTGTCGAGTGTCTCAATGCGTGCGAGGGCATCGTTATGTTTCCGCAGGAGGGCGACGGCTTTCTGGAGTATGCGTGCGCGCTCTACCGGCGGCGTGCTGGACCATGACGGGAATGCCGCCTGAGCGGACTCGACTGCGGCGTCGATTGATTTGGACGACGAATTATAGATCTTGCATATCGGTTCTCCATTTGAAGGATTGATAGACTCAAAGTGACCGGAGGACTCTGCTGTGGGTTGTGGCTTTCCTGCGTAGAAGGTATATCGATCTACATCCTTGAACGCCATGTTGTTGAGACTAAGGAAATGGATACTCGTGCCAGGACGATAAAACATATAACTATGATGTGGGTCCCAGCAATCAGAAAGCGATGAGCCGTGAATTGCTATTCACAATATTTTGATAGTACCTTTAGTGTATCTTGGTGAGTGGTATCTATCTCGTCCTTCGTCAATTAGACTATGAAGATAAGAACAAATCGGCAGTAAAGCCTGAGAAGTACTAGCGTGGAGGTTGGAGTGGTATTAAGCCGATCTTAAAGCTAGCGGGATTATCCCTGCCAGCCACGAATCATTGATAAGATCTCACCAAAGTAGAAATTCAAACCCGAGGTCATTTAGCGTTTACTGATACCAATACCAGGATTCGAGGAGGATAAAAGAAAAAAAAAAAAAATCGAACGTGGAGTGTATTACTGGGTCGGGCCGGATAAGGCGAGATCAACCGTTCACCGTTTCACGTCATCGAGGCTGGAGAGCGGAGAAAGCGGTGTTGACGACTCTGCGGCTCTTGTCTCAGATCCTCTCGAGCTGAACCCCGCTAAGCCCCGCCGAGCAACCGTCCGATTGGTAGGTTTGGGATCTCGAAAAGCAGTTTGTCACGTACCTAGGTAGCTTTTCTACGCCGGTAACTACGAAAAATTGCCCCTTCGGACGTCCTACAGGTAATTGACTGCTTTCGGGGTTAGTTAGCGTGGATTGCGCGTTTTGATATGGAGAAGAAGATTTCTCACCCCTCGAGATAAGAATCTCAAGGGTTAGGGGTGTGGCAACCATGAGGTAAAATACCAAAGATAGAACGGCTATCCAGAAGGATGGGCTGCATTAGCCAGGTTATCCTTCCCACCTTCGGACTGGCTTGAACTGACCCAACCACCAGCTAGACCCCCCCCTCAAGTCAGATAGAACCTGTTCTGACATGTCGACATTGCCCTCCCCGCGCGTGCATACGCGGATATCTTGGTCGACCAACCCGCCTACGAGTCAGGCCATTCACCGCCCTCCATGTGGGATCTTTTGCAAGGGACTCGTACAATCTAAACGGGCTAATAACGAACGATAAAGGGTCCCCATGCTATAAAAATTGTGTAGCGCTTGACCGATTCCCGAACCGGCTTGGCAAACATATTAATAAGATCCCCGACTGCCATATGGCTGCGTAGTCGGATTTCATAATCTTTCAGTTTTCAGTGTGCCGCGTTTTTTTTTTATCCAAAAACCCATGCCGTGTAATTTAGCTGATGCTGGAAAACATGACTACCGTACAGCTTCCCGTGTCAGATTCGGATAAGTACGACTATGTAGTCGTCGGTGGGGGCACGGCCGGCTGCGTCGTTGCCGCCAGACTGGCCGAGTATCTTCCACATAAGAAGGTTCTTCTTATCGAGGCCGGTCCCAGTGATTATATGGACGATCGGGTCCTCGACTTGAAGAAATGGTTAAGCTTGCTTGGTGGTGAGCTGGATTATGACTACGGTACCACCGACCAGCCTATGGGTGAGTTGTTTCTCGCTGAGTTGAAATTTTCCCTTATCTGACCACGATCCACAGGCAATTCTTTTATCAGACACTCACGAGCTAAAGTTTTGGGAGGCTGCTCTTCGCACAACACTTTGATTTCTTTCCGACCGTTTCAGTACGACCTGGATATCTGGCAGTCGTTGGGAGCCCGGGGATGGACGTTTCCTGTATTCATGAAAGCCCTGGACAGACTAAAGAACACCGTCCAGCCGGTCCACGCCAGACATCGCAACCAATTATGCCAGGACTGGGTTGATTCGTGCAGCTCGGCACTTGACATCCCCGTTATCGAAGACTTCAACAAGCAGATATCAGGAACCGGATCCCTGAAGCCCAGCGTCGGCTTTTTCTCGGTGAGCTACAATCCGGACGATGGCAGGCGATCTAGCGCATCCGTTGCGTACATTCACCCGATATTGAGTGGCGAGGAGAAGCGAGACAACCTGACGGTCTTGACGGACGCATGGGTATCGAAGATCAATGTCAGCGGCGACGCTGTTGACAGCATCAGCTTAGCGCTGAAAGACGGCTCGCTGCGTAAAGTCAAGGCCAAGGCCGAAATAATCTTGAGCGCCGGAGCCGTAGACACCCCTCGTCTTATGATGCTGTCTGGAATTGGACCTAAGAAGCAACTGTCAGATTTGGGTATCCCCGTCGTCCGCGATATCGCAGGCGTCGGAGAAAACCTGCAAGATCACCCCGAGAGCATCATCATGTGGGAGCTGAATAAGCCCGTGCCGGAGAACCAGACGACAATGGATTCCGATGCAGGCATCTTCTTGCGTCGCGAGGCGCCCGACGCCGGAGCCAAGAAGTCGGCTGCCAACCCGAAAGGTCTCCCCGACGGGGATATCGCCGACGTCATGATGCACTGCTACCAGATCCCGTTCACACTCAACACTCTCCGATTGGGCTACCCAGATATCGAGGACGGCTACGCTTTCTGCATGACCCCGAATATCCCACGACCGAGATCTCGAGGCCGACTATACCTTACCTCATCGGATCCCAAGGTCAAGCCGGCGCTAGACTTCCGGTATTTCACAGACCCCGAAGGATACGACGCTGCTACGTTAGTCTTCGGTATGCGAGAAGCGCGCAAGGTGGCGGAGCAGGCACCGTTCAAGGACTGGATCAAGAAGGAGATTGCGCCCGGACCCAAGGTTCAGTCAGACGAGGACCTCAGCTACTACGCGCGAAAAGCGGCGCATACCGTGTACCACCCCTGCGGAACGACTAGGATGGGTGATACGAAAAGCGACGAGATGGCCGTGGTTGACGAGAAGCTAAAGGTCAAGGGCCTGAAGAACTTGCGCATTGTAGACGCGGGAGTGTTCCCGACGATTCCCACCATCAACCCCATGTTGACCGTGTTGGGTGTGGCTGAAAGGGCTGCCGAGCTGATTGCCGAGGAAGCTAAGAGCCAGCCGGAGAGGGCCAGGCTATAATGCGTTCTGCTGGATGTGTAAAGATTTGGGTAGGTATGTATGGATGGTGAAGAGCTT